TATTGTATTTCATTTGGATTTCACCATTTTTAACCCTCTTATTTTACTCATAACTATTATTTTTTTGAGTTTTATATTATTTCCCCTTCTATTGTATTTCATTTGGATTTCACCATTTTTAACCCTCTTATTTTACTCATAACTATTATTTTTTGAGCTTTGTTATCTTCCTTCATTGATTCTTGTTTCTTTCCTCCATCCACCTATACCATTTATCCCATATCTGGTGGAATTCCGATTCTTCTTTTCCCTGGATTTCATTAGTTAGTTTGTCCATTTCAGCACAATCCATAATCTTTCTTATTATTTCATCTTCGCTTGGAATTAATTTGTTTTAGGACACCTTATAATCCTACCTGGATTGGGGTGTTTGAAGGAGAAGCAGGCTTTCGGAGGCGCCAGCTGGTGGAAGTTGTGAAGACGAACAACATAGGGCATTTCAAATTGAGCCTGGAAAAGGGGGGGGGAACCAAAATAAAACAGAATATTAGATATAAAAATGCCAAGTTTGGTCTCTGGTGCTCTCTGAGCGTGGCCGTTTTTTGTTTTTTTTTGCAGATGTTTCACGACCCATCTAGGGAACATCATCAGTGCTATACCCAATTATTTTTTTTATAGGGAAATCCCGATATCTCTTGCTTTCCGAGAATCAAATTAAAAAGTTTGATTACACGTATGTAATAAAAAAACATGAGATCCTTCATTGTTTTAAGCCCGTGATGCCACAGGTAACAAGCAGAGCCCTCTCAGCGGGCATGCGAGCTGTCGCCCCAACTTAGCTCCACTGCACATCTGCGCCCGCCTCCCAACTGGCCAGCTGATTTTCTGGTCTCTATACTGTGCATGCGTAGGGGGGAGGCAGGGCGCATGTGGGAGTCACATGCGCAAGTGTGGGGATCATGTGTGCATGTGCGGGGCAGTGGGGAGTCACATGCGTATGTGCGGTGTCATGCACACTGGAGCAGGAGGGCTGCATGGGGTCACGCACGTGAGGCAGGGGAGTTAAGTGTGCATGCGTGAAACGGGGCACATGCGGAGGGGTCGCGCGCAGGAGGGGGTCGCACGCACATTGCATTATAGATTGCATTGCGTTATAGAAAGTGCATGCGGTTTTGGCATGCGACGACAAAAAGGTTAGCCATCCCTGTTTGAAGCATTGTTTTAACTCAAATAACTTGATGATGTGTATATATACAAACAGTATTTGACATTAAATAATTGTGCTGTCCCAACAGTATATAGCTATTGTGTAGGAATGAAGAACTGTCTCCTTTAAGAAACTACCTCATGGGAAATGTAGCCACCTTACGGGAAATGTAGGCAGAAATGCCTTGTGGGAAATGTAGTTCCATAACATGGGACCACATCTGTGTTCCCTGATTGGGCAGCGGGGTATTCTGCCCGGGAAAAGTGATTTATTACTGGGCACTCTCTGAATCGCCCTTGGTTAACTGGATAGCAGCCACCGCATCTCCCCTCATCATCTCCGCTCATCAAGGGAAATAGGAAACCACAGACTTTTTACACTCCGTGATGGGACAGATCATGGAAAGTCAGAAGTATCTTAACACTGAACTATAAGTTTTGCTATTAAGGATGCCTGATAATAAATTTGGTCTAAAAGAACGTCCTAAGCGTGGACTTTAGCTGCCTGCCCTAGGCACACCTACACCACTGGGGCAGAACAATAATTGTAGGCATTTGAACCTGACCCACATTTCCATACTTGTCTTTTTGTTGTTGCCGGGAAAAGCTCTATTTTCTTTTTTTCCCCAAGAGACACAAGATTTCTACTTTTTCCTCTGCTCGTTTCTTTTCTTTTTTCTTTTTGCAAAGAAAACTTTTAGGAGGACGGAGAGAACACAGGATATAACTCACCTCCGGATCGCGATCCTTCTCACGACAGGCCCGAACTTCGTTGTAGAGCTTTGAGGACGAGATGGGACCCAAGAAGGAGGTGTAATGGTGGGGGATGCTCACCCCTCCCTCTGTGCAAGCGGACAAATCAAAGAAACATCCGTCACTCACAATTATTAAGGGGACTTTGAAACTGCCTATTCAGCTCACCAACATGTCGTGCCCTCCGTCAGCTTGAATCTGAGGATGACGAGCATGAGCTGGGACCAATGGAGGTCGAGGTGGGTGGCCTTTTCTGGCTTCGGAGGAACACTGGGAGAAGCAGGCCGAGACAGCCCCAGGTCTCTCTGGCTTCCGACAGTTTGGTAGCAGGGAGGAACAGGGGCAGGTTGATCGAAAGAGGGCAAGCAGTGGACGTGAGGAGCAACGGAACTCAGATGATGAGCAAGGACCACCCGTTCCTGATCCCCGAGCACGGAGAGTGGAGAGAAGGCGGGAACCGAAGATAACAAATCCAATCAAAATAAGGTAACACTGGGCATGATTCCCTTAAAAACTGCCTTGCTCAGCAGTGGAAATTATGCCCCCAACTGTGGGCTGAGGATTACCCTGTATACAAATATTCTAAATATTTTGGAATACAACCGTCATTTTTCAAAGGTTTTGTCCTTATTACTCACCTTTCAGGCAATGTTCCGCCCCATCCAGACACTCTGGGGACAGCTCGTTGTCGGCGAAGGAGCCCAGCAGTTCTGACACCATCAGATCCGCTTTCTCGGGGGCCTCCCACTCGCGCATGTCACTGGAGACGACCGTCACCTGGGACCCCCATTCCTCGTACTGCCAGCTCTCCAGCCTGAAAAGAAGAGTTAGATCTGGAAGTCATCTTTCACATTGGGCCTTCAGGCCTGCCACAATTTCGACTGTGGGGAAATGGGAGGAGGGATTACGTATATGGAGGATGGGTGAGAGGTAGTCAAAACAACATTCCTTTCCCAGAGAGTCAAGGACAGCTTGCCCTGCAGCTGCGATGGTGTGACTGGGAGGCATCTCCAGTTTTGGATGGTGCCTGATTGGACCATGTGATGGACATGTGGTTGCTGGGCAGGGACTTGAACTTTCATTTGAATGGGGAAAACCTGGAAACTTTCAGATTCGGCTTTTCCCAGATGTCCCAATATGACTCTCCGGCGCAAAACTGCCCTGCACAGCGGACTAATATTAAATATGATCAAATATTAAAAATAACTTCCATCTTGGGGACTTTCAGATATGTGGACTTCAATTCCCAGAATCCCCCAGCCAGCTTTGCTCCTGTTTTGCCCATAACAACAATCCAGTGAGGTGGGTGGGTTACATTGAGAAAGAGTGATTGGTCAAAAGTCACCAGCTGGCTTTCCTACCTAAAGTGGGACTACGACTCCCAATCTCTTGGTGTTTGGCCCCAAAGTCACCCAGTGTCTTTCCTGCCTACGATGGGACTAGAACAGTGGTCTCCAACCTTGGCCACTTTAAGACTTGTGGACTTCAACTCCCAGAGTTCCTCAGCCAGCAAAGCTGGCTGAGGAACTCTGGGAGTTGAAGTCCACAAGTCTTAAAGTGGCCAAGGTTGGAGACCACTGGACTAGAACTCCCAATTTCCTGGTGATTGGCTAAAATCACCCAGCAGCTTTCCTGCCTAAGGTGAGACTAGAACTCCCAGTCTCCTGGTAGTTGCCCCCAAATCACCCAGTGGCTTTCCTGCCTAAGGTGGGACTAGAACTCCCAGTCTCCTGGTAGTTGACCCCAAATCACCCAGTGGCTTTTCTGCCAAAGGCGGGACTAGAACTCCCAGTCTCCTGGTGATTGGCCCCAAATCACCCAGTGGCTTTCCTGCCTAAGGTGGGACTAGAACTCCCGGTCTCCTGGTCATTGGCCCCAAATCACCCAGTGGCTTTCCTGCCTAAGGTAGGACTAGAACTCCCAGTCTCCTGGTCATTGCCCCCAAATCACCCAGTGGCTTTCCTGCCTAAGGTGGGACTAGAACTCCCAGTCTCCTGGTCATTGCCCCCAAATCACCCAGTGGCTTTCCTGCCTAAGGTGGGACTAGAACTCCCAGTTTCCTGGTCATTGCCCCCAAATCACCCAGTGGCTTTCCTGCCTAAGGTGGGACTAGAACTCCCAGTTTCCTGGTCATTGGCCCCAAATCATGCAGTTGCTTTCCTGCCTAAGGTGGGACTAGAACTCCCAATCTCCTGGTGATTGGCCCCAAATCACCCAGTGGCTTTCTTGCCTAAGGTGGGACTAGAACTCCCAGTTTCCTGGTCATTGGCCCCAAATCATG